CCAAGTTAGACACTCCCCAGCCCCAAAAATGTCACCTAGGTTTTTTTTTTCATTACTTGTTTCTAGAGTAAAGCAAGTTTGATTGTTGAATTGTCTGTTATCATCTGGAACAGACTCAGTGCATAATGTTTCAAAGGAATCTGCTGTCCTCTGGATCTAGCTACTTCTACTCAACTTCCGACACTTTATGAAATAAAATAATTCTTTCTTTACTTCTATTATTTTGCATGATACCCAATAATAACATATTTTTATACTCTATTTCTATTCCCCTATCCCAAAATGCCAGCAAATTCTTCCTTGCAATAAATGCTGTCTTATTAAGAAAAGCATTTGCCCTTATCACTTATTTGAATTTTCTACAAGCCCATACTTACTATAACTCCCACCATAATTTGGGCAGTGAATGAACGTTAACTGTTTTTTAAAAAGTAGCACTGAAGATATGAATCTTCTTCACATAAAACGTCACAAATCATGACCCCTGGCATAATAATACCTCATTATAACAGGCAGTTTTAGAAATTCTAGCTTTGGCTATCATATTGACAAGGGCAAGGTTATGGATTGAATCACAAGATTTGTCATGTAGCTTTGAAGCAAGCAATGTTCAGACTCTTCCTAATTCCAGCAATTGTTTAACAAGTTTGCGCTAACGTCAGAACCAACAAATATTCATCCAGCATCTACAAAATACCTAATAGATTGCTAATTGTTATTAAAGATTCAAAGGGCTAGAAGGTATACTCTAAAATGTCACAATCTAATCAGTCAGACACTTGCTTTTCATTCAGAAACCATTTACTAAGTGAATACTAGTAATACTAAGTGAATACAACGGGCTAGGTGCAACCCTGTATTTGAGGGTGCCTATGTTTCCACTCCCACACCCACTGGTCTATATCTGCGTATGCCAAGTTCAACGTCCTAATAGGGTTCTAATTGGTCTCATGAGTCACTGTTTCCCTCAGGGCAAAGTTTTCATGCTTAACCACTTCATACCACTCACATTTCAAGCCATTCATCATTCATACTTACACGTTGGCTGCCCTTAACCTGGGTATCTAATGGTGGCCTCACCATTTGTGACAAGGGTGATGGGGTCAGAATATGGTCACTTCGATGGAATAATTTATGGCACTTTTGGTCACCAGGGGCTGTATCTGTGATAGACATTCTCGGAGGTAAAAGACCCACTATTCACACACTACATATATATTTTTTTCACGCTATAATTCATGACTAGTCACTTGTAAAATTTTATAGTTTATTGAATCATAATAAGAAGTATGGTTTATGTGTATTTTCTGTAGGATCCTCATTTGTATTTTCCTTTTAGAACTCTAGAGCTTTTGAATGAATCAGAGATGCTTCCAATTTCTTCTTTGGACAGATGAGAAACATTTCAGAGGTTAAGAGATTTGTGTCAACTTTACTTAAGTAGAATCCAGGATTCCAGGCAGTGGAGTCTTCTATTCCATGCTCACTTCATGCCTTAACCTCATTTTTACATTTTTTCTTCTTTTATTTTCTAGAAAAAAACCAGCAAAATAAAAAAAAAAAAAAAGAACCCGATAATTTAAGAGTTCTCAAGTTCTCTAAATCTTCCTCACTTAGACTTAGCTCAGTTAAAAGTCTGGAAGGCTATACCCCTGATTTGACTCATTTCTAGCCCTGCTGGCATTACTGTATTCTCTGCTCTCTGTCTACACCAGGGCAGATCCTGAAAAGCAACACTGATTGTGTGTGTCACTAGACAGCGTTCAGCCAATGTACCTCAGTGATAGAGACACACAGTGGAACATCTGTTATATCATCTTTATTTAAAGGACAATTTACCCAAGAGAAAAATACTAAAGATATCTTGATTTTTGTTTTGTTTTATTTTGTTTTTTGCCAATTCACTACGACTAAAGTGAAAACGGTTATGGATTCACATAGTGCCAAACTGAATGACAAGGTTTAATAATTTTTCCTGTTGAGTTAAAAATATAACCCCAACAGGCACATATTTAGCTTGTATGCCTAATTATTACCCTCCTTCAGATAACTTCTTTTTCCTTACACAGCTGCTAAGACCTTATTTCCCCTGGAAAAAGACAATGAAATTTCACCCCTTTCCCAGTCAGGAGCTAATCAAACTTATTTTTCATTTTACTTTTTTACTCAAGGATTTGAGTCATTCGTATGCCAACTTCTATGAAAAAGGGGAAAAAAAGACACTTTTTTTCATGCATAACAAATAATTTAATTAAAATGTATCTCATCTGGCCTCAAAATGGAACCACTTTTTTAGGACAAAGACAGCCTGGACCAAAGTCCATTGGAAGACAGAATTTGAGAAAATTGAGAAACACATAATGCAAGAAAACTCACATCAATGCAGGACTAACCAATGATTTCTAATTTTATCTCAGAAATCTTACCTTCTAAGATAAGAAATCTTATCTTGTAATGTTGTGCTTTATCTTGATAATTTTTCTCCACTCTAATCTTTAAAGAAATTCTGTTTGGAAAGATGAACGAAGCTAAAAAGATGGCAAAGCAATCAGACAGGATATGGTATACATATTCTGATTTAGATGAAGCTGCCTTTGGGAAACTATCAAAGGCTACAAACGTGAACAGTTATAAAAAAAATATTGGAGAAATTAAAAGGAGTCCCATCATTCTAGCCGGAGAGTAGATTTGAAAATATGTGTGCTTATAATCTAATTCACTCTGAACAATTTTCAGTGGCTGAAATCTTAGTGTATTAATCAAAATAGGTAGGGATAGCCTCTGTTTATCCTAAATTCAGACATGAGAAAGGAAAGAAAGATTAATCTGATAAAGGCATCACTATTTCTAATCGGACTGATGGGAAAATGGAGTATGGGGTAAGAGGCAATGGCGGGTGAATTATAGTGAAGTGATGAACTACCGTGAAGCTGAAGCAATCAAATAGATAGCTCTCAAAATTACTACAGCATCTTTATTCAACACGTTGGTGCAAGTGTCCCCGTCTTGGCCTTCTTTACTAAGAGCAGAAGCACTTTGTTGAATTCGGTGAAATTAAATCTTAATAGAAGAGCCTTAGCAAAGGCGACTACCCTTCACTTACCAAAATTAAACACGAGACATTAATTTCCTTTCTAAGAGGAGGAGATGACATTTTGATTATATTTTTAATTCACAAAATAGTTAAAAATCCAAGAGAAGAGTTGGCAAACATTTTTTGAAAATTTCTGACACATATTTGTCTCTGTGCATTGTGCACTCTTTTTGAAGTAATGTGAAACCTTTGTTACTCATCCTTGTCTTTCTTACACATAATTTAGCAAGCAATTATTTTATCTTCAGAAAAAAAGATAATTGTCTCTAAATTTTTCTGATCGAATAGAATAAAGTGAAGATGTTTTTGTAATTGGTAGAGAAGAGCAAGTAGTACCTATTGCAGTATTCAGTTTTAAAATTTTGCTTGTGTCTGATTAGACAAAAATTTCAAAAAGTAAAAATACAAAGAACTACCCCCTAAAAAGCTACCCATAATCTCACAATCCGGAGACAACCACCATTAACATTTTTGCCTTATACAAATGTATACACATGTAACATACAGATAAGTGCATGCATTTTTTATACATAAATACACATTATATATATATATATATAGATGTGTGTGTATACACACACACATATACATATTTTTTAATGGAATCAGACCTCACAGCTTCCTTTGAATCCAGCCTTCTTTTCTTAAAAATATATTGAGGGATTTTTTTCAAATTAATGGGTGCAGATCTACGGTAACATTTTTAATGTCTTCATGGTATTGCATTTTATGTATCTTATCATTTATTTAACTCTGCATATATTGAGTATTCAAGTTGCTTTCAATCTTTCCCCATTATAAACAGGATCTATCTTTGAATTAAAATCTGAAGTCACTCACAAATATGAAAAATGTTATTTAGACTTCTTCATACCGCAAGTCACACATAATAGATAAAGACTGCAATGGGTAATGATCCCTTATAAACCTTTGAAACCACTTGACGTCATGTGTCTGTAGTTTTCTGTTAGCTCAGAATATTTCATATTTCCACTCGTGGATTCCTTTGGAGTAGTGAGAGGTAGACATTGCTCTCCGCATTTAACATGCTGACTTCTAAGCTGAAGTCATATGTTGGGGAGGGGAGACACTAACAGTAATTCTAAGGAACCTAAGTTGCTTGAATCTACTTGTGCTCCTTCCAATGGACCAGTGCTTCCCCTGGAGTCTTGGTGTGCAAGGATACCTGGGGAATTCTGTCTAGCATGATTTCTCATTCCTGCCTCCTTTCCTTCAGCTGAAGTGATCATTACTGTCTTCATCCAATACTTCCTTTAAATTTGGCGGAAAATGCCAGAATACCTCCTATTAGCCTTACTTTAACTGTAATCACTTCTCTATTCTAAAACACCTTAGCAATTAAATACAGCATTGATTGTGAGCTTATTTTGTAATCTTGAATTTTATGTGGGTATCTCTCTTCTTCTCTAGGCTGGAAACTTTAATAATCAGAGACCCTAGAAGCTATTTATTTGGAATCCCCTAAAGACAACTTGTACTTCAAATAACACATATATTGAATATAGCATTTTAAACTGGACTGTATCAACACAGTTCTGAAAAATATTTTAGCTTTTGGACACTATCAATATGTTTTAATTGTATTGTGTAAAGCTGTTCCTTATATTAACTAATTTAAAGAGAAAGGATACTTCAGATTTTTCTCAGTTCTATTTCTTAATGTATTTTGAGTCTGTTTTGGAGAAGAGATTTAAAAAATAAAATCCATGGTTTGTGGATGTTGAAAATCATTAGACTAGAATGAAAAAAATACATGCAGTTTTATTATATACAAATATTATTATAGCATAGTTTTAAAAATGCTTGATAAGGTAAGTCAATTTCATTTGATTTTTTCATGTTATTTAATATACTTTTCAAAGTAATTTTTAGCAAAAATACATACCTTTATACAATTTGTCCAGCTTTTGAATATAATTTTCCATACTTTGAGAAGAGATCAAATGATGGTAATACGGTTTGGAAATCCTAGGAGGAAAAAGATCAAAAATTTCTACAGAGATCTTACTGCCCTTGTATTATAATTATTATTATTATTATTTTATTGTAATCTATATTATATTAAATTGCTAGACAGGTGTCATTTAACAACACTTCAAGTTTCCCATGATACCCTCAAATGAAACAAAATTAGCAGGTAAGTTTTATCATTTGAAAGGCAGCGACATTGAAGCTTTCTTAAACACACAGTTTTGAATAGCTGTGGATGGCCCCCTCACGACGCTCTGGGCAATGCGACGATCACACACAGCCACCTGTCTTCAAGAGGCTCACAATCTAAATTTTTCACCTTGACCTGTGTAAGGCCCCGAATGATCATGCTTCTGGGTCCTTTTCTGACGTGATTTATTTTCTTTGACACTTCCCTTCACTTAATCATCTCTAGCAACACTTCTGTTTACTGAACACATTTCTTCTCAGAGTCTTTGTACTTACAGATGCCTCCACATAGAAAGCTTTGCCTTCAGTTATTCCCACGGTTCATTCTCTCCCTTCATCACATCTCTGTTCAAAGAGGCCCTCCCTGACTGCTGGATAGAAAAGAGCACCCCTGAAACTTCCTGTCACCTGAACTGGCTCTATTTTCTTCGCTAATTACCAGTCTTTGGTATTATATATTTATTTATTTTGTGTCCCCCATGAGACTATAAGCTTCATAGGGATAGGTACTTTGTTTCGAGGAAAGTAAATATTTGTTGACTGAATGAATGAAAAGGGAAAGGTGACAGGCCCAAATAACTCTAATAGAGGGCCAACTGTGGTAAGTACCGCAGAATTGATTCAAATGAACGCTAAAGGAGTTCAGAGGCAAGAGGGGAAACATCATTTTTTGTTGGGTAACCAGAGAAGTAGCATTTGACTGATGATAGAAATGAATGCTTTTCATCCATGTTAAACAGGCAAGGTCATGAAAGAGGTAAAGTACTAAATCAACAGTGACTACTGTAAATAAATGGTCAGATATATAAAGGTATATGTTTCTTCTCAAAAAGGAGGTCTCTCTTTAATGGACATGATTTCGGATTTTTTTTTCTTAAGAAAACGTTGGAAAGAATGACCTCTGCCTTGGACCCACCTCTCTAGAGAGTTCATACATTATGAATACACAAAAAATAAATCTGTTAAGGAATATGCAGGTATCTCTGTCACTAGAGACCTGGTTCTCCTCTCTGACACAACAGAGTCCCTAACCCTCAATATCTGCTTTTGTGACTAATGCTCCTCAGGTCCCAGGGAAAAGCTCCAGATCTGTTGCTCTGTGTTTGTGAAACAAAAATGACCAAGTGACATGAAGGACAGTAGGTTGTAACAGACACTGCTTTCCAGTACAAAGAAAGTTTGAGTGACAAAAGTGCTTAGATAAAAGACAAATTATTTAATTTGAACAAAACCCTTCCTGTTGGATAGCATGAATGCAATAGAACTTTATATAATGAGGAATTATCCCCCTGTGGTGCTGAACATTCAGATTCTTTCTCTCTTTTTATTCCAAATTGTGATTCTAGAGGTACTTAGGAATCGAGAGAGTATTTGCAAGAGTTGCATGTGACATATGTGACATTGCAGGAGCATTTTGCAATAGTAAATAATTCATATTATTCTTAAATTTGAATGTATGAAGTTTAGGCCTATGTGTGAAACATGGTAGTGATTTTTTTATGCTGGCATTTGATGAACACTGAAACCTAGAACCGTCAATAGTTTTAGTTTTATAAACATATACAACAATTTAAGTTTCAAAAAAGCAAATGAAAAGGTTAATTTTATTTTAGTGATCTTAGTTTAAGCTTTTGATATTGACTAATTATATTTATTCCTCATTTTAATATAATAGATAATTTTGACTATTTAAAATAACTCTTTTTTTTGTGAGGAAGATTGGCCCTGAGCTAACATTTATGCCCATCTTGCTCTATTTTATGTGGGATGCCACCACAGCATGGCTTGATGAGCAGTGCTAGGTCCATGCCCAGGATCCAAACCTGTGAACTCTGGGCCACCGAAGTGGAACATGCAATCTTAACTACCACACCACCAAGCCATCTCCCAATAACTCATTTTTAAAACATGTAAATAAGTTTAAATTTTTGTTTTTTATGTTTAACATATTTTTGATAAAAGTATATTCAAATTGTATATAGTTTAAATAGATTTATATATTCTATTTAAATCCAGTTTATACTGTTATTGATAATGTAACACAAATTAAATGAAAATCTTGATTCTAAAAAATATAATTAATGATTATGCTGAAATAAATGTAAGGAAAATGAATTATATGGGATAAATAATTATGCATAACTTATGTATGTCTTTATTTTATCACTTATCCAAACATTATAGACCTATCAAGAGATAACCCTGTCATGGAAACAATTATTACAGTCTGTTGTCTGTATATATATATATTTTTTTTTGATGAGGAAGATTGGCTCTGAGCTAACATCTATTGCCGATCTTCCTTGGTTTTGCTTGAGGAAGATTGTCCCTGAGCTAACGTCTGTGCAGATCTTCTTCTACTTTGTATGTGGGATGCTGCCAAAGCGTGGCTTTGATGAGGGGTGTGCAGGTCCACACCTGGGATCCGAACCCATGAACGGTGGGCTGCTGAAGCAGAGTGCATGACTTTAACCACTACGCCACTGGGCTGGCCCCATTCTGTTGTCTATAGTTTGTCAACTTTAGATCTTTATTTTACATGTAGTTTTTGATGTTGTTGTTATAAAGGTATTTTTATTAAGGTAAGATGACACAACATATTTTATTTAACAGTTAGCTTGACTTATAGCTTTTAAATCAGACTTGATATGTGGCCTCCATTGCTCTTGCTTAACGTTCTGTAAATGTTGGGGGGGAGGCTGCTCTTCATACACTTAGAGACCTAAGCAATTGACTATCAGCCTCTCTTCCCTAGACACAGAGTGCTTTTCCTTTAAAGGCTTTGCTTTCCAAACTTCCAAAATCTTTTTTGCATCTGTCTTCTAAACCACTTCCGTATTCTCAACACCTTTGTAGAAGCAGCAGTTACTCATCTGGACTCTGGTTTCTGGTCTGATATGTAGAGTTTGGAACTCATTGCTCCTAACCCCACAAAAGGAAAAAAGCTAAGCAAATTTCACATCAACAACTCTTCTTAGATTGATCAGAGAATTACAGTCAGAGGGCAAATTGCTGCCCTGAAAATGGATAAGATAAATAAGCAGATACAGAGAATCACAATTTACCAGGAGCAAAAGCTCAGGAAGAGAAGTGTACTGCTGAAGCCAATACCACAGAAACACCTTCAACTAATTGACAAATTCCTGGTGGCTCAGTGTGGCCTAGCTTGACAGTTAAGAACACTAAGGGGAGGGGATGGCCCAGCAGCATAGCAGTTAAGTTTGCATACTCCACTTCAGTGGCCCGGGGTTCACCAGTTCAGATCCTGGGCACAGACCTACGCACCACTTATCAAGCCATGCTGTGGCAGGCATCCCACATGTAAAGTAGAGGGAGATGGGCATGAATGTTAGCTGAAGGCCAACCTTCCTCAGCAAAAAGAGGATTGGTGGTGGATGTTAGCTCAGAGCTAATCTTCCTCAAGAAAAAAAAAAAAAAGAGTAAAGCAGAAGTAAAGACTTGCAGACAAACAAATATTAAGGAAATTTGTCACCAGCAGACCTACCTTTCAAGAAATGTTAAAAAGAAGTTTTCAGAGAAAAGGAAAATGACAATAGGTCAGAAACTTAGCTCTACATGAAATGAGGAGCATTAGAGAAGAAATAAATGAAGGTAAAATAAACCTTTTATTTTTAGTTTTCTTAATCAACCTTACAGGTAACATATCTGTTATCTGAATATGTTGTTCAAAATAATAATAATGACAACATAATCAGTGATTGTAGCTTATGGATAAGGTAAGTGAATGACAGCAATGTTATAAGGGATAAAAGGGAGGAATTGGGAATAATCTGTTAGAAAGTACTTGAGGGGCTGGCCTAGTGGCACAGCAGTTAAGTTTGCACATTCTGCTTTGGCGGCCCAGGGTTCGCTGGTTCGGATCCTGGGTGTGGACATGGCACCACTTGGCAAGCCATGCATGCTGTGGTAGGCATCTCACATACAAAATAAAGGAAGATGGGCACAGATGTTAACTCAGGGCCAGTCTTCCTCAGCAAAAAGAGGAGAATTGGCAGCAGATGTTAGCTCAGGGCTAATCTTCCTCAAAAAAAAAAAAAAAAAAGGAAGCGCTTGAACTACTCATGAAGCAGTATAACATTATTTGAAAGTGGACTTGGGTTAGTCACAAATGTATTTTCCAAAATCTAGAGCAACCACTAAAAATGTTTTTTAAATGAAGTATAATTGATATGCTAAGAGAGGAGGGAAGTGTAATCATACAAAACACTGAATTTAAACTAGAGAAGCCTGAAAGAGTGGAAGGCAAAAACAAAAACAAAAACAAAAAATAAAAAGCCAACAAAGAACAGGGCAATGAATGGAAAACAGTTACAAATATGGTGGATATTAATCCAATTACATTAATAATCACTTAAAGGTGAATGGTCTAAATATAACAACAAAAGGCAGAGACTGTAGATAAAAAAGCAAAAGCCAACTATATGCTGGCTACATGAAACCCAGTTTAAATACTAAAGCACAAACAGATTAAAAAGTAAAGGGATGGAGAAAGATATACCATGCTAACATTAATCAAGAAAAGCTAGAGTAGCTATATTAATTTCAGACAAAACAGATTCCAGAGTAAAAAAATTATCAGGGATCAAGATGGGAATTACATGATAAAGGGGTCAATTCTCAAAGAAGACATGACAATCTCTAATGTGTATGTGCCGAGTAACAGAGTATCAAAATACACGGAACAAAAAGAAACAGAACTGCATGGAGAAACAGACAGACTTACTATGGTAATTGGAGACTTCAATACCCCTTTATAAACAACTGACAAATCTAGCAGGCAGGCAATC